TTTTTTTTTTTTTTACCCTTCTAGCTAAGGATGCTGCATGGGGAGGGTGCTCAGCAGTGTGGTAAAACTATACAGTTGCTTACTCTGTTTTGATGGTTTCTCTCTGAGTCAAGAGGTTTCTTTCTGTGTTTGGACAGACCACATATAGGATATGCATCTTTTCCACCCTTTCCCTTCAAAGGGAATTAAATTTGAGTTAGGGTAAAAAGGGGATGCAGGCAACACCTTGGTTTGGTTTAATGTAGGAAAAAAGTGTTGGATTTTTTGAGACTGTCTAGAACAAAAGCTCTTTCACACTTGCTAGGTTTTTTTTCATGGTGATCTCTTCTTCATTCAGCCTGGGTAGGTTTGGCACTCACTTGCAGGCTGCTGAGCATCCTGCACTGTTCCTGGGGTGCCACGTGTCTGCAGGAAGGAGAGAACTGCTTGTCTTTCTCTCTCCCTGGGGCAGTGCCAGCCAGCCAGGCCTGGCCTGACCGTCTGCTCAGGTCAGGGTGAGGGCAGAGGAGGCTCGGACAGCAGTGGCTGCTCTGCCCTCTCTGTGGATGGCTGTGCAGAGCCGAGGCTCTGGCTGCTCCCCAGGGGCCAACAAAGGCCCTCGGGAAATCAGATCCAACCAAGACTTGAAAGGAGCAAGCATAAGCCAGGAAAGAGGCTGTAACCCAGCTCATTTTGCTGCTTTGCCTCTGTTCCCGTGAGAAACAATGGCAGTCACTGTCAGAGCAGTTGGGATCCCAGGGCCTTCTTCTGGCCTCCATTAGCAAGAGTTGGCTGCTCCGAGGCACTGGCAGCTCTGCACGTCACAAAATCAGTGGGACAGAGGAGGAATATCTTCCCAGCAAAGCAAGAGGAGAAGCAGCTGAGCTTTTGAGAGCACTGGTCTCTTCTTCCCAGGCTGGCAGAGGCACAACCTGCTCCAACACATCACTGTGGCCAACCTGGGCACGTCTTTGGCTTCTCTTCCAGTGGCTTGGCACATCACTGCTTGCATTTCTGATAACTGTCTCTCATAGGGTATTTCTTCCTTGTCTCCACATTAGTCCCTCCACAGATTCTGGTCTTTGTGTGGCTTTTGAGCTCTCCTGCCCCTGGTTTTGAGTGAGTAAGTAGTCCTAGTCATCCAGCCTTGTGCAGCACAGCTGGGGGACCTGGAGCAGACGTGGAGGGAGGAAGGAGCAGTCTGTTCCTATTTGTAGATCCCATGCAGAGCTCCTGCTGTGCATCCAGCACAGGCAGTGCCCAGCAGTCCCTAGGCAGCCGTGGGCACCTGAGGTGGTGGCTGTGGGGTCACTGGTCCTACACACTGGTCCTACACACTCCCTGCTGCCTCAGGAAGCTGCATCTCATGAGCACTTTTTTCCTTGTGGCATCATTGCTGCCTGTTCCTTGTTGGACTTAGAACATTTAAGAAGTGAATCAGTTTCCAGACCCAAACCGCTGGCTAGTTTCCTTTGGGTTTTTCTTTTTTGTTGTGAAGTTTATGGAATTTTTTTTTATACAAATCCAGCAGGCTGGTGGTTTTTTTTGACTGCATTATTGTTTCATTGATATTTTATTTCAGGGGGGGCTTAGAGGGGAATGTTCTTCCCCACATTGTTCCCCTTCTCAGGGGATTCAGAGGTGGCTTAAACAAGTGAAAGGACCTTATTGGCAAGACTCTGCATCCCCTGGGTCTCTGATGCTGACGAGCAGGGCTGCTCACGCCTGGCTGGCCCTGGAGAGCAGAGCTGGCTCTCTGCTTCAGTCTCAGGATCAGGCAAAACATGTGGGCTCTGCTCCTGGTTTCTAGACCTTTAGCTGGTGGAAGCACATTGCAAAGCGTTAGGAAATTCAGTGTAACTTTTTTACTAACTTCTTTTCTTTTTTTAAAACCAATATAAAACTGAGTGTCCAGAAGAATAGGCTTAGTTGTTACTTGGTGAAGGTGGATTTCAGTTGGAAATTGTGATGGGAAAAGGGAGGAGAAGGATGTTGCTCCCTCATCATCATCTTTTGTATGGTCAGCACTTTAAATGGGGGCCTCGTGCTGTTCTGACCCTTGGAGTGATGGGCAGCAGGCGTGTGATTTCTCCCCCCCTCGTTGCCACATCACTTTGCCCCCTGCAGAAAGGTTAACAAGCCCTTTTAAACATTTGCTTCAGTTTTTAGAGGGTTCCAAACCAGGTGGAGGCCCGAAGAAATAGTATTTCATTCTCATCTAAATAGGAGGGGTTGACTTTTTATTTATTTTGTCGTTGCTGTTTCTTTTTAAGCAGGTGGCAGTGCAGCTGGTCTCTGCACTGCTGCCAGGAACCTCTGGGAAAACCTCACTCCAGGTACGCTAGAGCACCACAGTGAAACCCCTCCTGGTGAGGGGCTCCCCCTCCCCTCCTCGCTGCCTTACCCGGGGGCTGCAGACCCCCTGCACCCCTCCTGCCCCTCCCTGCTGCCCCACACGGTCTCTAGCTGAGTTCTTGCTCTGGTGACCGAGCCCTTTGGACAAGGCCAGTCCCCAGGGACAAGTTCCTACAAACTCTGCCTGGTCGCAGGTGTTTGTCCTTGAAAAGCCACTTCCTCGCTGCGGGGAGGGATTGATGAATGCAAAATTCCCTCCTGAGAGCTGTGTCCATCAGCCCCCTCCCTGCTCCCTCCCATCCCGCTGCCCCGGGCGTGGAAACCCCGAGAAATGAACGGGAAAGGAAAAGGAATTGGGGTGAAGCTCTGAGCGAGGGATGCGGCTGAGCCTGGTAACTTGCCTCAAACACATGGAATAACAGTAGAGCCCATATTTTTGTGGGGGGAGGGAGGGGAAGGGGAGATCATGTTTTATTTTCTTGAAAGTGAATTGAGCTTGGTGACCTTTGGCTGAGGCGCACTCGATTTGTACCAGATTCTATAGAGAGATGGCTGATATTTTTGGAAAGGGAATGGGTCTATGCAAACTTCCAAAATTGCTTGAAAGATAGTTTAATGTTTTTTTACTTTGAAAATCTAAAGATAAATCTAACTTTTGTCTTAAAGCAGAAGTGCGTTTAGAAAGAGAAGCTACTTCCACTGCTCTATTTTGATGATGATTCTTGGAAAGTTTGGGCTGGAGGGAATGACTATTTTTCACCATTTCTATCTTGCTCCTCTAGTTTTTTTGTTTCTTTTTCTAACGGAATGCTGTGCCGTCTTTGATTCAACAGATCGTGTTTGTATTTTCTGTATCTGGTTCCTAATGTAGAGAAATAACAAATATATGAGGAAATCAGTATAATGTCAAATGTTGTTATGGTTTGGGGGAAAAATAAAGGTTTTTTGGTACTTCACACTGATTCTTCTTGCTCTGTTTCTTGTTTTAAATGCTGTGGGGTGAGAAGGGCATGCTCAGACCTAGAACAGTTTGGCTTTGCTTTCTCGGCTTGCTCTGGCAGCAGGGAGCAGAGATCCCTGCCAGCCCTTCCCTGGAGATGGAGAGGGCAGCTGGCAGCACAGCACCAGTCCCATGGAAGCAGCAATCCAGGGAAAAGGGGACATCTGCTTGAGTCACCAGCAGTGTCCTGTATCCTGTCCCAGCCTAGGCTCTGCCTAAACTGCCTCTCCTGCTGGGCCTACCTCACCAGGCTTGCCTGGGGATTGGGCCCACAGCCCAGCAGCGCTCCAAGGAATAAATATCTCATACCTGAGTAGCCAGCACAGGCTCACCACCCCCTTAATGGAGAGTGAGGCAAATTCAGTGCCCAGATACTCAATGCTGATGGCTGACAGGGCTTGAGGGGAACAGGAGCCCTGGGAGGAAGCAGCTTTTTGCCTTTTCCACCTTCCCAGAGCCTCGGCCGCACAAAGGTCAGGTCTTCCCTTCTCCCTTGTTTCAGGCCCGTTCCCGCCGCTCTCTCCGCCCCGTTCCCGCCCCGTTCCCGCCGCTCTCTCCGCCCCGTTCCCGCCCCGTTCCCGCCCCGTTCCCGCCCCGTTCCCGCCCCGTTCCCGCCGCTCTCTCCGCCCCGTTCCCGCCCCGTTCCCGCCCCGTTCCCGCCCCGTTCCCGCCCCGTTCCCGCCCCGTTCCCGCCCCGTTCCCGCCCCGTTCCCGCCCCGTTCCCGCCGCTCTCTCTGCCCCGTTCCCGCCCCGTTCCCGCCGCTCTCTCCGCCCCGTTCCCGGCCCGTTCCCGCCCCGTTCCCTCCCCGTTCCCGCCGCTATCTCTGCCCCGTTCCCGCCCCGTTCCCGCCCCTCTCTCCGCCCCGTTCCCGCCCCGTTCCCGCCCCGTTCCCGCCCCGTTCCCGTCCCGTTCCCGCCCCGTTCCCGCCGCTATCTCTGCCCCGTTCCCGCCCCGTTCCCGCCCCGTTCCCGCCCCGTTCCCGCCCCGTTCCCGCCCCGTTCCCGCCCCGTTCCCGCCCCGTTCCCGCCCCGTTCCCGCCCCTCTCTCCGGGCGTTTCGCGCCTCCGGGAGGTGACGCGGATGGGGGCGGGGCCTCGCGCGTGCCCCGCCCTCCACCGCCGCCGATTGGTCGCTCCCGGCGCGGGGTTGGCGGGCCGCTCGCTGATTGGCGGCCGCGCCGGAAAGGCGGGGCCGGCGGGCGGAGGCGGCGGCGCCATGGTGAGTGCGGGCCCGGGGCGGCGGAGGGAGGGCCGGTCGGTCCCTGCTCGGGCCGGTCCCTGCTCGGCACCGGGGGGGGCTTGGGCTGAACCGTGGCCCGGAGCCCTCGTGAGGCGGCCTGGCTGCCGCCTCTGCGGAGAGACCGGGCCCGGCCGCCTCCCGGTGTGACCTGAGCGGGGGAGCTCCCGCGGCACGGCACGGCACGGCCGCCCGCGCTGGCGCATCCCGCCGCGGTCTCCCCGCGGTGCCCCTGCCCGGTGTGCCAGTCACGGAAGCCGCCGCAGGGGATCCCGCTCTGCCTCTCCCTTTGCAGGCCACAGCGACGGACCAGCTGGTTGGGTTTGGCTTGGTCGCCTTCAGCCTCGTCCTCTTTGTTTACTACACCCTCTGGATCATCGTACTGGTACGGGTTCCTCTGGCCGATATAATCCCAGTCACGCCATACTCATGTGTTTCCCCAGCTCTTGTTCAGCTGATGATGTGTCTGTGTGCCCGAAGGACTCTTGTCTTTGGGTTAAAAATTTCAGGGCAGATTTTCCTCTGTGCGCTGGCACTGTCCTTGTCCCATCTGGGTGTTCCTGGCCTTGCCTGGGCAGGACCAAACATCGATCGTGGTGCCCACCTGCTGTTCCAAGATGGGCTGACCCAGCCAGGGCTGGATGAGCCCTTGGGAAGAGCTGAAGCCCGGCCCTGATGGAGGTGTAGTCATCGATGTCCACATTTGCATCCCCCGGATTTTTGGTTCTGGTGGGAGATGGCAGAGGGAAACATAGAAAGAGACGAATCTTATCGAATCTGTAAGGGAAGAGAAGAGTTTAGGGAATGCAGGGCTCTGGGAGAGTGATTGTGAGGCTGCCCATTTCTGGGGACACATCAGCTGAGGTCATTAGTGATTTTCTCCCTGGAAAGAACCTTCTCCCCAGGTGCAAGAGGCCAGGTTCAGCCTTGGGCTAGTGTCTGAACTCCCAGCAGCTTCCCCTCCAATTCCAAGCGATTTGAATTCCCCTTTTGCATCTGCTCACTCTGCTGCCCGGTCCATGTCTGTGCTCCCGGCATTCCCAGAGCTGTAGGAGCGTTGGGAATCCTCACAGTGCTCCCTAGCGTCCAGAGCCTTCCCCTGGCTCCTGCAGAGGGATCCTGCTGGGATAACCACGGAGCAGAGCCGGTGCAGCTGCTCCTTTCTGCAGGGACAGAGGGATTTGCTGTAGTGTGCACCAGCAGCTCTGCCCACCCCGAGCCCCCGGGGCTGTGGGACCCTGTGCCAGCCCCATAGCCCCCCCTCATTATCCACTGAACGCCAAAACCTTCATTTTGTCTCTGTGGCCAAGCCACCTGCAGCTCTGGGCACCCTTTTTTAGCCATCTCACACCAGATATTTCCATGTTTCTCCCAAAAGCTCGAGGCTGCACTCGAGGTGTTGTGCCCACCTGTTGACACCCCTCTGTGTCCCTGCAGCCCTTCATCGACAGCGACCATGGGATCCACCAGTATTTCCTGCCTCGGGAATATGCAGTTATCATCCCTGTGGCAGCCGGGCTCCTGCTGCTGCTATTTATAGGTGAGAGTTATTTCTGTGCTTCTAATTAGAAACTTCTAAATTAGGAAGAGAGAAGAGGGTTGCTACTGGTTTAGCTAACGGGTGACACTTACACTCTCTGTGGTTACTGTTGCAGCTAAGCCTGGCACAGGGATTTGGGGCTGTTTGTGATTTTTGGCTGTTTGAGCCTCTGGATAGCAGAATTTCAGAATTTTCTTGCTCTCTCTGCTGAGATTGTTTCTCATTGCCAGGTGTTGTAGAAGGGCCTGGAATTAAGTTTCCTACCTCAACTGGTTCTCTTTCTCTTGGCAGGTGTTTTTATAATGTTTGTCATGTGGAAGAGCAGGAAACACGCCAAGAAATCAGACTGAAGGCCCGGCTGAGGAGATGAAGAGGTGCCCACGCTGCAGCATCATAGCCAGGAAAAGACTTTTCCTGCAGCTCCAGGCAGACATCTCCAAGGTGCCCAGCACTGAGCTGCTCCCATGTTCCCTGCTGCAGAGACTAAACCTGTAGTTTACAATTCACTGACCAAAGAGAAGCAGGATTCATCCAAGGCTCATCAAGCAAGGGACCAGAGCCCCTGCTGAGGGACCTGCTCCCCAGCTGGGGCTGTCCTGCCCACTCTGGGCACTCCTTCCCCTCAGCTCTGGCTCGGCCAAGTAGTTGTTCCTTCTGGGAATTTTATTTAAAAGTTTACCTACAGTTTGTGGGGTTTTCTTCATTCTAGTATAAAAGGAGAGAAATGAGACTTTGGGCTTGCTAAGGACAGGTTTTCCTTCTCCATTTGCTTCTGGAAAGACTAATCACAGTGCTGGGGGCTCTTGCCCTTCTGGAGAGGGACTCCCATGAGGTTGGGTATGCAGAGGGAGCAGGGACAGTGCTGCCCCGTGTCCCACCCAGCTGAGGGGGTGGTGGGGAATTGTCCTGGATCACAGGGAAGTGTTGGGTGTGGTTCCCATCACAGCTCTCAGTCCTGGCTGGATTCCTGCCCTGGGTAAGGCTGGGGCTGAGCAGGCAGGTGGTGGTGGCAGTGTCCTGTCCCTGGGGGTTTCCTCTCCTGGCAGCAGCTGCTGCCCTGGCAGCCCCCCTGGAGCACAGCAAGCAGCATCACCCTCAATAAATGCCTGTAAGGTGTCGCTCCCTGTCCTCTGCCCATGCCAAGGGGTGTCACGAGCCTGCCAGGGTGGGTTCAGCTGCATGGCCCTGGCAGTGCATGACATCCTGCTGAAAAGGTCCTTCCTGCTGGTGAGGTCAGGCAGGGAAACACCAGAGACAACCTGGCCAGACTTTGTGCTGGCTCTGCCATTCTTGGGGTTGCTGTACCCTGCCTGGGGAGGGCAGATTTAGGGCACTCTAACCCTTCATGCATGTGCTGTGAATTTCCTGCCAGTAGCATGCCCCACAGCCTCCCATCCTGCCTGGGGTGATGCTGGTGACTTGAGAACACCCCGAGGGCCACAGCTGAGCCTGGCTGCAGGAGCCAGCAGAGGGTCCAGAGGTGAGGCTCTGGCTGGAGGTTTGTTTCCAGCTCTTGCAGAGGCTGCCAGGCCATGCTGAGCTGTCAAATTCCCTGCTGCTCACCTGCTGGCCGGGGCTCAGCCCATCCTACAAGGGTGGTTTTGGGCTGGGGCAGAAGGAATCAGAGGGTGGAAGATTTCGGTGGTGACTGAGCAGCTGCCGGTGTGACCGCCCCCTCCAGCCTTGCTTCCTGTGCAGGAGCCCAGTGGTGTGTCCCTGTCATTTCCTCTCGCTTGGTTTCAGGCCTGTTCAGGACAGTGGGGGGGGTTGGTTTCAAGGTTACATCTCATGTTTCCTTATCTCCAGTGGGAGAAATCCAATGCCCCTCCCCAGCCCCCCCCCGGGCCAGCGGGCAGCTCGCTCTGGGGACACTTCCCATGGGCTTGACCCTGACAGGAGGGGCTGCAGGTGATGGGGGCAGCCCCCTGGGGCCATTGGATGGGGTCTGGGGTACCGGGGTGTCTCCTGCCCTGGTCCCAGTCCTGAGCCATTCGGGATCCTCGTGGTGTCCCTGGGCTCATCGGGAGCTGGTGCTGCCCGCAGGGGACAGGGGACAGGGAGGCTGCAGAGCGGGAGGGGGAAGGAGCCGTGGGGCAGGGAGAGAGGCGGGGGTCGGTGTCGGGACACACGAGCTGGGCGCGGGGCCGGTCCCGGTGCGCGGGCACGAGCGGGCGGGCGCGCTCGCGGGGCCGCGGGGCCGCGGGGCGGGGCGGGCGGCCGGGGGCGGTCCCGGTGCCGGTTCCGGCCGTGCCCGCTCGGCTCCGCCCCGCCGCGGCCCTCCAGCCGCGCTCCGGGCGGGATGCGGGACCCGCCGGTGGCTCCCGGCTCGGTGAGTGGGGCCAGCACCGGGAACCGGGAACCGGGGACGCCGCGCCGGGGAGACACCCCGACCCCGTCCCGGCGGGGCGGCACGGGGGGAGCGGGACTGCACACGTGGGGGACCCCGGGGAACGGGACCGAGAGTGCGTGGGGGGATCCCGGTGGCGGCCTGGGAGCAGTCCCGGTACGAGGCGTGGCGGGGAAGTCCGGGAGCTCCCGGCCCGCTGAGCCCGCTCCGCTTGCAGGCTGCGAGCCCCCTCCCTCCCGGTGACCCCCGGAGCCCGCCCGGCGGCTCGCCAGCCCCCCGAGGATGAAGCCGCTGGTGAGTACCGCTGGGGCAGGGCCGAGGGGCCCGAGGGGCTGAGCCCGGTGCCCGTAGGGCGTGCGAGCATCACCGCTGCACGGAGCGAGCCGGGCCCAGCTCCGCTCCCCACAACACACCCCAACACCCTCCGAGGGGAAACTCCCTCATGGCCACGGGGCCGGTGCACGGGGCAGGCCCGGAGAGCTCCCCCCGCTCTGTTCCAGGTGCGGCTCTTCCTGGCGCTGGTGTGCGCGGTGGCGGCGGCCGTGCTGTACATCGTGCTGTGCTACCGCGGGCAGCCCTGCTGCTCGGCCCCGGGGCTGCGGGACAGCCCCACCGCCTCCAGCCTCCGCAGCTTCCCGGGCTACAGCCGCGTTCCCGACGGCAAGGTGCGTGGGGATGCGGCAGCGCTGGGCCCACCCGTGCCTCAGTTTTCCTGTCCTTTGGGAAGGGCAGGAAGGGGCTGAGGTGTATCCAGCTGCTGCGGGGGGGAAGGAGGAGCTGATGGCGGTGTGTCTCCCCACAGCCGCTGGAGCGAGCGCTGTGCAGCCGCTGCGCCATCGTCTCCAGCTCGGGGCAGATGCTGGGCTCGCAGCTGGGACGGGCTATCGACGGGCAGGAGTGTGTCCTGCGCATGAACCATGCCCCCACCAGCGGCTACGAGCAGGACGTGGGGGCACGCAGCACCATCCGGGTGGTCTCGCACACCAGCGTTCCGCTGCTGCTGGGGAACCAGCCCTACTTCTTCCAGCAGTCACAAGAGACCCTTTACTTCATCTGGGGGCCAGCAAAAAAGATGAACAGGGAGAAGATGGGCTCAACCTACCAGGCACTGGTCAAGGTGATGGAGAAATACCCCCAGCTGCAGATCTATACCCTGACTGAGGAGAAGATGACATACTGTGACGATATCTTCCAGAATGAGACAGGGAAGAACAGGTACTGCTGTCTCCTGAGGAGGCCCATCACGTACCACCTGTCCCCACACTGAGTACCCATAGTGTGGGAGGGCCAGCAGCACAGTGCCACCCACTCCAGTGTGACCACGATGCTTTGCAGGATGAAATCCGGCTCCTTCCTGAGCACGGGCTGGTTCACCATGATCCTGGCCATGGAGCTGTGCGAGCAGATCTGTGTCTTTGGCATGGTCAGCGACAGCTACTGCAGGTGTGGGGGGTGGCTGGGCAAGTGTGGGGTGGTCCGGTGTCCCCCCAAGTCTCACACTCACCCTGTCCCCTCCTGCCAGGGAAAAGAACCACTCCAGCGTGCCGTACCACTACTTTGAGAAGGGCCGGCTGGACGAGTGCAAGATGTACCTGATGCACGAGCAAGCTCGGCGTGCTGGGCACCGCTTCATCACCGAGAAAGCCATCTTCTCCCGCTGGGCCAAGAGGAGGAACATTGTCTTCAACCACCCATCCTGGGCGGGCAGGTAGAACACCAGCCACTGGGTGAGGCGGCAGGAACCTCGAGGGCAGGGCAGCTTCCATCCTGCAGCAACGTGCCTTAGCACTGCCAGTGGCATGGTTGGACACCTTTTGCCAAGACCTGGAGCAGGGAATCTCCGTCTCTGCAGCAGCACTGCCTGTTTCCCCAGCTGGTGGATGGGCTGAGAACCCTCTGTTCTCTCATGGGGGGCATGAGCTGGACCCATGCAGTCCCACCAGCTCCAAACGCCTGCCTGGATGGACCCACGGAGACCTGGTTTTCTGCTCTCTCTACTAGGAGGAATATTTAATGCAGGATTAGACATGCTGCTGGACTCCAGCAGGACATGGGGCAGAAATGCTCAGCCCCACCAGGGCCACAAACTGGTGCCTCTCACAGGGACGAAGCTCTGCTGTGGTCCTTGCCCTAGCTGTTGCCCTCTGGACCTTGCTGGGTGTGGGGTGCAGGCAGCTGGATCCAGGTTCTGCCTTCTGCTGCTTGGTGCCTGCATCCTCTCAGCTGGGAAGCCCTGGAGCCACATGTGCCCTAGGGGCTGTGAGTTGCCTTGTCACAAGTGTCCTTGAATTCAGACCAAAGCAAATGTGGCCATTAAAATTGTTTTTAATTCAGTGGTGCCCCTTGCTGTGCCCCTTGTGGCTGCAGGAGAGGACAAGGAGTGAGGGAGGGGGGATACTCAACACCTCATCACGGGCTGCCAGGCTATAAATAAGTGGGGGAGGTGACAAGTGGGTAGAGCTGAGCCTAAACATGAGAGAGGGTGCTGAAAGCAGTTGAGGTTATTTGGGAACCAGCAGCTGCATCTACGCAGGATGGGTGCTGGGTCTGGCGTGATCCTCAGTCCCACAGGGCTCAGTGCTGCTGGGCTGTCACAGGGCACTGGAGAGATGGGACATGCCATGGGCAGTGTGTGGCCCTGAGCCCACAGTGGGCCTTTGAGCATGTGCCACATATTTGGGTGGGTCCGGTGCTGTCCCGGGGGCCAGGGATGAGAGGATGAGCTGGGGCACAGCGAGGAGCAAGTGGTCCAAGACCTGGGGGTGCTGCCAGGGCTGCTTCCTGCGGTGTAGTTCAGCAGAGGAGCCCAAGGAACTCTGCCTGCCGTCTCAGCTTCCAGCTGCCTCCTTCCTCAACCCTATGCAGGGCAAGGCATCACCGGCCTATCATCATCATCACAGCCGAGCCAGCATCGCTCTGGACAGGCGTCAGGGATGCAGGTCCTGCCAGCGGTGGAGCTCTTCCCCTGCGCCACGAAACCGCCCAGAGCGGGCCCCGAGCTGCCGGGCCGGCGGGGGAAGAGCTCGGCACGCCGGGGATGCGCTGCCCCGGGCCCTGCCCGCACCGGGGACCGGGACATCAGTCCCGGCCTTTCCCGGTGGTTCTCTCGCCCCGGGGAGGGCGGCGCTAGGATCGATCCAGCGGCTCTCTCGCTCCGGGGAGGGCGGCGCTAGGACCCGGCGGTGCTCCCCCACCCCGGCGGGGCGGCACTAGGACCCGGCCTGGGCGGGGGCAGCGGTACCGGTAACGACAGCGGTAACGGCATCGGCAGCGGTATCGATATCGGCAGCGGTATCGATCTCGGCAGCGGTACCGGGGCGCACTGCGGGCCGGAGCGGTCGGTGGATCTCCCCGCCGGGCCCGTTCAGCCGGTGCAGGGGCGGGGAAGCAGCCCCTGGCCCCGGGGCGGTGCACAGGGGATGGAGGGGTAGGAAGGGTCCGGTTCCCTCCCGTGTCACCGGGGCCGGTGTTGGGGGGATGCTCCCCGGGGCGGGGGAGGACTCGCGCGTAGGAGCGGCGGGAGGTTCGCAGCCCGGGCCGGGCGGGTTTTCCGTTCCCGGAGGGCGGCAGGGTTCGCATCCGGGGCTGGGAGATGCCCGGCGGAGGAGGGGGGTCTGAAGCAGCGTTCTCCCGCAGAGCGGCGATGTGAGCCCCGTCCCGGCCATGGCCGAGCCCGCAGCAGGGGCCGGGCAGCGCCCGCCCGCGGGGCGCAGGAGGTGACGGACCCCATGAGAGCCCCCGGCAGGTGAGGTGCGGCTCCCCGCGCTGCCACACGGCCCGGGAGCTGTGCAGGGAGCCAGCCGGGGTCCGGGAGCGGGGTCCCACCGCGTCCCCAGCCCTTGCACGATGAAGCCCCTCAGCATCACCCCGCCGGGCACGGCCTGGGCTCCCCGGGCAGGCTGGTTGGTACCTTTTGGCACCACCGCCGGGCCCGAGAGCGCTTCGAGGTGTCAGCTCCCCCCAGGGGTTGATCTCAAGCTGTTGCATAATTTTCCTTGTGACAATTAGTAAAGAGGCTTCAGTGGTTTTTAATTTCCATTTGCTCGGAGCGCTCCGGGAACGGCTGGGGCTCACTAACCAGGGCTCCCAAAACTAAATTGGGTCAGTCCACTTTAAGTGGAAGTTAGAGTGGGTTCTGGGGCTGGAGAGGTCCCTGCAACCCTGCTGGATGCAATCCCATGCATGCACTGAGTGGGTTAGGTCTCACTTCCTTGCATTCCCTCCTGATCCAAGGCTTCCGTGGCGGTGGTTTTAATGGAATTTCTCTGCACGTGCAGCAGGTTGACCCTCCCTAACCCTGCGGTTTGAGTGGTTTCATCCCCACGAGGGGAGGATAATCCTCCCTGGACCCAGTTTAACGTGGGGATTCCCCAGGCATAAGTTGCGGCTGGGTTTGGCTGTTCCACACCCCGGAGTCTGCCTGGCCTCTGTCAACAGCATTTCTTTTCCCCTCATAAATTCCGGGGGAATGTTCTCATCTTCAGAGGGGGACCTGGAGACTCATCCCGTGTAAGCTGACCCTGTACCCTGCCAGCCTGGGGACGATGGGCCAGGCTGGGGGTGACCACATGCCTTGCAGGTGCTCGCAGGACGCGCTGTGTGCTGAGGCCGGCACGGAGACATGAGTGGCAGCACGGTGAGTGCCAGAAAATCACCTCGGTGACCTGCTGGGGACAGCAGGCATCCTGCTGGAGATGCCGTGGGAGCAGGGTGGATGCTGACCCCCGTGGGGTGGGGGCAGCGGCTGATGCTCTCCCCCCGCCCGCAGAGCCAGCGCGCCGCCGCCCTGGGGGTCCTCTTTGCCCTGATCATGTTGCTGATCATCTACAGCTCCGGCAATGGGAGCGAGGTCTTCCCCTACAGCCGCCTGCGGGGCAGAGCCCGCCGGCCCCCCGACCTCAAGAAGTGGGGGGTGAAAAGCGGGTACCTGCCTGTCTGCGGGAACAAGGTACGGGCTGGGCAGCAGGGCCAGGCCTGGGTGGGGACACAGGGTCTGTCCCTCTGCTGGCATCCAGCCAAACTGTCCCCTCCCGAGGACAGTGCCTCCGCAGGGAATGCCAAAAGTCATCTGCTGACGGCACTTGTCATCACCAGACCCTGACTGCCCGCTGCCACCAATGCGTCATTGTCACCAGCTCCAGCCACCTCCTGGGCACCCACCTGGGCACGGCCATCGACGGGGCTGAGTGCACCATCCGCATGAACGATGCTCCCACCACGGGCTACAGTGCTGATGTGGGCAACAAGACCAGTTTCCGCGTGGTGGCCCACTCCAGCCTCTACCGTGTCCTCAAGCGGCCCCAAGAGTTCGTCAACAAGACCCCAGAGACCATCTTCATCTTCTGGGGGCCGCCCACCAAGATGCAGAAGAGCCTCCTGAAGATCATCCAGCGCGTCTGCGCCTCGTTCCCCAACATGACAGCCTACGTTGTCTCCCCCGGCCGCATGAAGCAGTTTGATGACTTGTTTCGGGGAGAGACAGGGAAGGACAGGTACCTCAGAGCCACCTCTTTTGCTGTGTCCCCCCTTCTCCAGGTTCCCAAGGCACAGCTGACTCTTGGAGCTGCTTCACGGGCTGCAGCACTGAGCTGGGGGTCCCTGAGGCACGCTGGGGACACTAAGGGGGTCCATTATCCACATCAGCTCGCCCCTATCGCCCTTCCTGTTGTTTTTGCTCCCCAGGGAGAAGTCTCGCTCGTGGCTCAGCACTGGCTGGTTCACCATGGTGATCGCGGTGGAGCTGTGCGACGCCATCCACGTCTATGGCATGGTGCCACCCAGCTACTGCGGGTGAGGAGACCCCCAGGCCCCCACCCCAGCACCCTGACCCCACCGTGGGGCTCACCCAGCGTTTCTTTCCCCACTGCAGCCGCCACCCCCCGCCCCGCCGCCTGCCCTACCACTACTACGAGCCCAAGGGCCCCGACGAGTGCACAACCTACATCCACAACGAGCGGAGCCGCAGGGGCAACCACCACCGCTTCATCACTGAGAAGAGGGTCTTTGCCAGCTGGGCCAACCTCTACAACATCACCTTCTCCCACCCCACCTGGACCTAGGGGCTGCCCCATGCCTGCTGGGCACACCCCTGCAGCTGGGATGGATGGGGGCTGCCCTGCATCCCCCTGGGAGCGGTGGGATCCTGGCATCAGGTGCCACCAGCTGCCTCCCACAGGACCGCTGCTGTTGTGCGTGGTGGCTCCTTGCACCTGGGATGTGTTGGGTTTTGAGCTGGTATTTGGGGACCAGGTGTTGAATGTAAGATACGGGGTGTCCCCCCTCCATGTGCGGGATACTTGGCCATGGTATCCTGCCCCATCCTGGTTCATGCACATTGCAGCCCCTGTGAGGCTATAGGGGGTTCCAGGACTCCTCGGCTCAGTTTTGGTTTGCACCACTTCTGGGGTCACCACAGAGACTCTTCCCCCCAACAGTCTGGGTGAGGAGATCCCCTTTTGGAGCTCAGCCCCCCCAGCCCCTCATCCCAGTCCTCAGTTGTCCTCCCCACAGCAGAACCCCACAGTTTTTGGTGGGACCCCATGGGGGTGACATTACCACCCTCCCTGTCCCAGCACCCCAAAAACACCAGCCCCTCCCAGCACCACTGCGCCCCACACTGCCAAAGCCTTTTCTAACTGAAAGATGGGATTTTTGGGAGCTTTTTGGGGGTTTTGGCTTTTTTTTGTCCCTGCTTCTAATCCTGGGGTTTCTACTTAGGTTTCCTGGACGAAGGAGTGAGCAGGGGCTGCTTATTATTGGAAACAAAGGGCAGTAAATAAACAATTTAGAAGTGGGCAGGTAGTGGGGGCAGTGGTGCCTCTTGGCACCCTGTGGCTGGGACAGGACCTTGTTACTAATTTCTCAGCAGCAGAGAAGTTGATCTGGGGAAAGCACCTAAATATGGTGTGTTTGGGTGCTGAGCCTTGGCAGGAATCCATTCCTCAGTTTCCCTCTGGCTGTGGCTGGGGTTTTGAGGGGCTTGGTGCTGGGGGAAGCAGTGGGACATCCATGTTTTGTAATTGTTTGTACAGGAATAAATATTGCTGCAGTCTGTTACCTTGAGCCTGGCTCTGGATGGGTTTTTGGGGATGATGGCAGTGACCCCCAGCAATACCCTGGGCACACAGGAGGGTGCAGCAAGGTGACAGCATGTCCAGGTGGGATCTGTGTCCAGTCCCTGACTGACTCCAGCTCTGGCAGTGACAGAGCTTGTGTCCCCCCCAGCCAGGTGCCCTGGGGTCACAGGGTCTTGGGACAGGGTCTCTGCAGCCCCAGAGGAGGAGGAAGGGCAGGTAAGTGTGAGGACTGGGGGATCACCGTTGCCTGTCTCAAAGTCTGGTGCCACAGAAGGACTTTGCCATGAGATGGGCACAGAAGGGAGCAGCACGATGGCACTGATCTGGGCCACTGAAGCCCCTCTTCCCCCTGCTGGGTTGGTAAAATGAATTTGAGACAAAATAAAGGTGGTACTATTGCCAGAGCATTATCTCAGATTAGGGGTGGTAAACAAAACTGTGAGAGAAGAATGTGTCACTGATAAGGACACAAAGAATCCACAAGGAAAGCCAGCCAGGTAACTGGTGGATGGGATCAGCTCCAGCTGGGTAGAAGTTAATTCTGGCAGGGGGAGAAACCACGGACTCACTGGAAGAGAGACAGCGTGGGATTAATTAGCATTAGAAGAGAGGGAATCCTCTAACCAATGGAATAAAGCATCCGTGTAGCCACTGAGCATTAACGCCTTCGTTTGCAAAAATGTATAAATAATGAGAAGTTTTCAACAGCCTCGGGACCCCCATCATGACCAGGGTGAAGAAGGACCAACGTGATGCTGAGGGATCCATGGGTGGTGACAATCTTCTGCTTGACCAATCTCTTCTCCCCCATACGTGCAATCCCTCTTTTCTATTTCTTTCTCTACCTCCCATTTTATTGTTAAATAAAATCTGTACTATTGGCTTTGGAATTTGGCATCTCTCACTGAGCAGATGTTAACAAGGATGCAACACTCCCGGGGTTTTACACCCCTGGAGCTGAGGGAGAGGCGGGGGTAAGCTGGAGGGGGGGGGCATGGGGACATAGGGATGGGATGGGGACATAAGGACATTAGGGACAAGGATCGTGACAGTAGGGATGAGAATGGGGACATGGGGATTGGATGGGGACATTAGGGATGGGATGGGATGGGATGGGATGGGATGGGATGGGATGGGATGGGATGGGATGGGATGGGATGGGATGGGATGGGATGGGATGGGATGGGATGGGATGGGATGGGATGGGATGGGATGGGATGGGATGGGATGGGATGGGGGCATGAGGGTATTAGGGACAGGGATGGGGACAGTAAGGACAGGAATGGGGACATTAGGGATGAGAATGGGGACATGGGGATTGGATGGGGACATTAGGGATGGACACAGGGATGGGATGGGGGCATGAGGGTATTAGGGACAGGGATGGGGACAGTAAGGACAGGAATAGGGCCATGAGAACGGGATGGGGGCAGAAAAGGGAAGGCGAACAGCGTTCCCCTCCGAGGCGCCGGGGGCGGAGGCGGCCCGGAGAGCCCAGCCCGGGCAGGGCGGGGGCTGCCCCGCCGGCGGACCCGCACCCCCGAGCCCGCAGGGCTGAACCGCGTCCTGCCCGCCCCGTGCCGCGCTCCCGTTCCCGCCCGCCGCTCCCGTCCCCCCTCTCGCGCCGCCGGTGCCGCGCGCTCCCGGCGTGCCCCGCGCGCCGCCGTGATCTATAAATAGCGGTACCGGCGGGCCCGGGCGGCGGCGGCGGGGCCGGTGCGGGACCCGCGGGGCCAGGTCGGTGCGGGACACGGGGGCCCCGGTCGGTGCGGGACACGGGGGTCCCGGTCGGTGCGGGACACGGGAGGTCCGGTCGCTGCGGGACTCGGGGGGTCCGCTCGGTGCGGGACACGGGGGCCCGGTCGGTGCGGGACACGGGGGTCCCGGTCGGTGCTTGGCGCTTGCGAGGGATGGCGGGGGCACCGCGGGGGTGCTGGAGCAGCCCGGTGCGGGGGCTCGGGTCCCGGGGAGCGGCTGCTGGCTGCCGGTGCAATGGGAGGGGTGGGCTGGAGCTGGCGCGGGGGCACCCCGGGGTGCAGCCCCCAAGGCCTCGGCTGGGGGTCACAAGGCTGCCCTGCAGCCCCTCCCCAGCCCCGACCCCAGCCAGCCCCATCTCCCCTGGCCGCTCACCGGCGCGTCCCCCGCACCTACACCGCGGCACCGGCACCGCACCGGGTCAGCCACCCAGCCCGCACCCCCTGTCACCCCACCAACACTGGCACCAGCTGTCCTGGGTGCCAGCACCCCCACACTTAGGGACCCGGGGGTCCTGCCCTCCCCACACCCCGTGGGGGACATCTCAGGACTTTGTCCCCGCAGCGCTGGTGGGATGTGACCCGGTGCCGGTTTCAGTCCGGCCATTCTTAGCCGCTGCCCTTTGGAGGTGTAACACGACCTGGCAGCGGCTGCGGCTCCTCTGGCCGCGGGATGTCCCCTCCCTGCACCCCGTCCAGCCGGTTTGGGGTGACGCACTGTGGCCAAGCAGGTCGGCAGCTGCGGGGATGGGTGTGGGCAGGTGGGGTGGCCAAAGACGCCCCGGAGGTCCTGGGGGTGCAATGGGGTGCTGCAACCCCCTCCTTAGGACACCCCCCTAAAACCAGCCCGTGGGGAGCTGGGGGTGCTGCCTCCGTCACTCGGTGTTGTGGTGGCACCGGGCATCCCGAGCGGGTTTCCTGCTGCCAGGCAGCACCCCAGGCACTGGGATGTGGGCAGGGCAGGGGAGGAAGCCGGCAACGTCACCACGCGTCACCCGGCATGGGGATGCCCTTACCGCAGCCGGATGCGGAGGGTGACTGCTGGGAAGCAGGTGAGTGATGGCCGCAGAAGCAGAGATCTCTCAGCTCCCTATTCCAGGGCTGAGCCAGGAGTTGTGTCTTCCGTCCCATCCCCCCAGCCTGGCCTTGGAGCTGGGCACCATCACGGCCAAAAAGGGAGACCCTTTTTCTTCCCAGACTCTTGGTGACCTGATGTGCTGAGTTGTTTATCCTGCTCTTTCCTGGCAGCCTTAAGTGCTTCTGTGCCTGGACCACGGCACCATGTCGGCAGGTGAGTGATCCATCTCCCTGCATGCATTCCAACTGCATCCGTCCCCTCTGTGTCCTCTGCATCCGTTCCCTCTGCATCTCCCTGTCTCCCTTGTGTCCTTTTCCTTGGTTTCCCCCTGCATCAATCCCCCCTGTATCCATCCCCTCTGCATGCCCCTGTCCCCCTTTTATCCAACCCCTTTGGTCCTCTCTGCATCCATCCCCTTGGCCCCCCTGCATCCACCCCCTCTGCACCCCCCTTCCCTCCCTGCCTCTGTCCCTTCTGTCCCCCCTGCATTTGTCCCCGTTACATGCAGCCCCTGGTCCTCTTTGCATTCCCCCCCTCCACGTGCCCCTGTGTCCTTGCCTCCCTCCCTTCTGTCTGTCCCCCATGTCCCTCCAGCCCCCCCACATCCCCCACATCCCATTGCTCCCTGCCAGACACTTGGCTCCGTCCCCAGCTCTGAGGAGTGCTGGGTGCCAAGGAGTTGAAATTTCATCCAGCTGTAATCAGGAGATGGGAAAGCGGCCCCAGAGCAGCTCAACTTTATTTTTAGCTCTGCTTCCCCCTTCGGCATCACCCCCTGGCACCACCCCACACCACGGCTGGTGCACAGACCCCACAGGTGGTGACAGCCCTGTGCCAGGGTGCTGGGCAGGGGACAGGCGCTCAGTGCCACTTGCACCAGGGACTGATGCTGGGGTCCAGGGACTGCTGGGGCTGTGCCAGGTGCTCGAGGTGGCCGTGCCAAGCTGAGCCTGCCACGGCCCCGGTTAGCCCAGCGGGGTGAGGAGCCAGCCACAGGGATGGATGAGGCCAGTCCCTGCCTGCAGTGGAGCCATGGACAATGACCACCTCTGGGACACCACGTGGCACTGGAATTCCAGCCCCATGGCCAAGGTGCCATGGGGTCTTTGTGCTCAGACGTGGCCAGACATCCCAACCTGCCCAGGTGACCAGGACACACGTCTGCTTCCCTCTCCATCTTCTCCCCAGGACTCTCCTGGATCGGTCCCCTTTATCCCCAGGGATGCCTGCCCTGGATTTGGCACCCCCTGGGGACACCTCACTCCCTGATGGACCTTTTGGCTTTTGATAATTTTTTTTTCCTTTCTTTTTTCCAGAAAAGCTCAAGCAGCACAAAATCATCTTTGTGGTGGGTAAGTCTGTGTCTGGGTCCTGTCACTGGTGGGGTCAGCCCAGGCCTTTTCCCTGTACCCCTAGGCTAGGGAAACGGGGCTGGAGGCTGAGACTGGGCTATTCCCAGGCACTGTGGGGTGGCCGTGGCTCCAGCCTGGCTGCTCGAGTCCACATGGGGTATGCTGGGACCAGGAGGGCACCTCTGGCCAGGCATGGGGTGGCAGCATTTGGGGTGATGTGACAGCAAACCGCTGGGAGGTAATGTGACAAAACCCTGGGTGGTGATGCCCTGGGTGCCATCAGGGTGTGGTGCCCATATGCCAATTCCCAGCAGCCCATGCCACTCCCAAGCATTTGGGAAACCTCAAGAGGAGCTCTGTCCATCCACTTGGTGCTGGGCTTGGGGACACCAAGTGACGTGCCACTGAGCTCTCATGCCTTGCAGGTGGCCCCGGCTCGGGGAAGGGGACACAGTGTGAGAAGATCGTGCAGAAGTATGGCTACACCCACCTCTCCACGGGGGACCTGCTGCGGGCAGAGGTCAGCTCGGGCTCGGAGCGGGGCAAGAAGCTGCAGGCCATCATGGAGAAGGGAGAGCTGGTGCCCCTGGTAAGTCCCTACCAGAGCCAGCTGCCACGTGGTGGGGTGGGCAGGGGTGTCAGTGGGGCCACCACAGTAATGGTTGGCACGTGGCTCAGGCAGCTCTGGCCCTGCTGTCCCAGGGTGGGGTTTGCAGCAGGGACTGGGGGTGCTGGGTGGGAGTCCCGTTGTCCCATATCAGCCGCAGCAGCTCTGTGCTCCCCGCTCCAGGACACGGTGCTGGACATGCTGCGGGACGCCATGGTGGCCAAAGCAGACGTGTCCAAGGGCTTCCTGATCGACGGCTACCCCCGCGAGGTGAAGCAGGGAGAGGAGTTCGAAAAGAAGGTGAGGACTGGTGCAGTGCTGTGCTATGCTGGGCCATGCCACACACCAGCTTAGCACAGGGACTCAATCCAGCAGCAGCCTGGGCTCCCCATCCCAGCAGAGATCACATCCCAGAAGGGTCCAAACTGGGCAGCAGGACCCTCTGCCTCGGGGACAGCCTGTGCCCAGAGCAGGGTGTCCTCAGGCTGACAGAGCGTGTGACAACAGTGCTGACATGATGGTGATGGCAGAGAGCCAGGGCTTGGCTGCAGCGTCCCTTTGCCTTCCTCTGTGTGGCCCTAGAGGCCACTGGAACAGTGTCCTGGTGACTCCCAGACCAAAGTGGTGGGAGGCAGGAGATGGTGTGGGGACATCTCTGTGTCCTGTTCGCCCCCAGACCCCTGTGGAGGGAGGCAGACGGTGGTGTGGGGACATCTGTGACCCTCATGCTGACCACCACCACCCCCCCAAACCAAACCAGACCCGTGCCAACTCAGTGTGCTGACCCCATGTCCCCTCTGTCCACAGATCGCGCCCCCCACGCTGCTGCTCTACGTGGACGCGGGGAAGGACACAATGGTGAAACGCCTGCTGAAGCGAGGAGAGACCAGCGGGAGGGTGGATGACAACGAGGAGACCATCAAGAAGCGTTTGGAGACCTACTACAAGGCCACTGAGCCTGTCATTGCCTTCTACAAGAGCAGAGGCATCGTCCGCCAGGTAAGCGGGACTGCGGCTGATGGCAGCCCCACAGCTTGGGGCTCATGTCCCAGGGGAGGCGAAGTGATGGATGGGGATGATGAGGGAAGCAGGAAAACTCAATCCTGCCTAGTTTGGGGTGGGCCTGCCCCCTCTCATTCCCGACACAACCCCCTCCAAGGATAGCCCGCACTTCTTTGTCCTGAATGAGCTCTGGTCTCTTCACCCATGGCCAAAATGCATCCTTGGGAGAGTTCCAGTTGCTCTCCACGGAGAGCCCTTGGGCAAGTCCCCCAGCTAACCCCTCTGTACCCAGCTCAACGCCGAGGGCTCTGTGGAGGAGGTTTTCCAGCAGGTCTGCACCCACCTCGACTGCCTGTAACCGAGCCCCCAGCCCCAATTCCCCCCAGTGCACTCCAGCAGAGACAGCGGAAGCGGCTTTATCCTGTTTTCGTGGACGGAGCCGTGCGGAGGAAATTTCAAGGACATTGTGTTTGGCTCTTTCCCGTCTCTCCCCAGTAAAGTTCACTTTAATGAATCCAGACTTTATCTTTTTCTTCTGTCGCAGGAAATGAGTTTTTCTTTCCAGCGTTTTTGGTTTTTTTTTTTTCTCTCTCCCTCTCTGTCCTCCCCCCAGCCCCTCTGGAGCTGATTAAGGGCAGGAAGCGGGTGTTTATCCCGCCGGGGCAGCGGGATGCTGTGCTCAGAGGAAGGGAGGGAGCATCCCAATCTGTGGCCTGGAGGGAGCCTGCGCCTGCATCCTCCAGCCAGTCCTGGCTGCCCTTGTCCTGTCCCGATTGCTGAACCCCCTCGTGCTCTGGGTGTGTCTCCGCAGCCTCTGAGTGTGTCCTGCACATGCGGCTCAGCTCTCCCACCGGCTGCCAGGGGCTGCAGGCGACCGGATTCGGGATGGGGATTTCCACCACTTCCATGCCTTGGCATTTCCTTGTTTCTGTTGGCTGTCAGGGTTTTTTGGGGTACGCAGTGGCTGCACTGTGATGGTTTGTGGTGGCACAATGCCCTGGAGTGGGGTGTTCCCTGTCCTGCTGTGCCCGGACACTCAGAGCCTGGACACTGCTCAGCCCCGACCCCAGGGGATAAGGAATATGCTGAGGACGTACAGATGAGCCCAGCCACCAGGCTGGGTGTGCTCCTGGGTGGGTGCTCTCATGATGGTGAGTCACCCCAACAGACATTTGGGGGTGCTGGTGTGGGGGACAGGGGATGTGGGGGCTCCCCAGCACCCACAGAACCACACAGGCACAGCACCAGAGCAGAGGGGCTGCAGTGGAACTTGGGTGTGGGTTCTACCCAGCCACAGTGAGGGCAGGAGGTAGCACAGCTCCAACCCCAACAGGGCCCCCCACCACTTACTTTTGGGCTGCTGGGAGCTGGGCACGGAGCCAGGGGCTGGGAGGGCAGGAGGGGCGGCAGCGTTGGGGTCAGCCAAGGCCACCAGGCCAAGGAGTCAGAGTGGAGAAAGGAAGCCAGCAGGGAAAAAACAAAACTCTCCAAGACGAAAACCCAAACTCACCAGTCAGCCCGACGTCAGCCCCGTGCTCGGGGCCACGAGGCGCGGGCAGAGCCCGGGGCACTGCGGGGAGGCAGGCGGGCAGGAAGGATGCAGCCATCCGGCCGGGGCTGGGACGCTGCCAGCCCAGCGATCCAGGCCTGGGGCTGGCGGGTGTTTGCCTCGTGCTGCTGGAGACAGGGGGCAGAGGGGGTGTGTGGATTGGGACACCACAGCCTAAAACTGGGGAGTGGGGAGACACACCTCTCTTGTGCCTCCAGCCCTCTGTGGGTGTGCTGTGAGTGTGCCTCAGTTTCTCCAGGGCAGGGAGTGGGACAGGGACCTGCCCTGCTCCCCAGTACGGCCCTGAGTGCTTGGGGTTGAGGTTTAGATGCTCCTCTGGTCTGGAATCTCAAGGCCATCCCATATGCTGTGTGGGGGAAGATGCTGGGCTGAATGGGGCACAGGGGGCTGCACGCGTGGCTGCCCCACAGCCACGGCCACCCTCCTTCTGTCACACTGTGGCTGCCACCGTGTCACTGGCCATCACTTGGTCGTTGTCCTGTGGTGTCACCGCGGGGAGAAGGGTGCGAGGGACTCAGAGGATCCCGTGCCGGGTGCCAGTCCCCATCCCCGGGTGAGCACCCGTCCCCGCGGTCCCCAGGAGGTGGCAGTGCTCTGTCATGGGAGATGGTTGCTGCTCACCCCGGCTCACCGACATCTCCGGGGACATCCTGGCTGCTGGGGACAGGCGTCGCTGATTTCCCTGGCACGTTTCCATTCTGTCCCCATGCCCGTGAACCATGAGGCAAGATGAAAACCAGCCCCGGTGTGAGGGTCTGAGGACCTGCACCCACCCCGGTGTGAGGGTCCCAGCCCCACTGATAGTTGTGTGAGGGCTCTCACCGGGGCTGGCAGAGGTGTGGGGAGGAATGGGGCAGGAGTGCAGAAGGGGGTCCCTGGTGCCCCTTTGGCAGTGCCCAGCTGTGACAGCCTTGCCCTCACCAAGGCCCCCTTGTCGCAAGGGATCTCCAGACCCCAAGCCCACCTGGCAGGTAGGAGTGCCCAGGTAGCCCCATGTGTGGCCTGGCCAAGGGTCAGGCAGGGCAGGCAGTAATGCTCGGGGGCTTCCACCTGCCCACCAGGCTGGGCATGCGGGGCCGTGGGGCGGCCACCAGCCTGACACATGTGTGCTGGATGGGAGCAGTGGGGGCTGAACGTCGGGGGCAGCCCCTTCCCCATCGGCTGGGGCAGCTCCCCATCCCTATCACCGGCAGCAGCCCGGGAATATTTGGGTGGATGGAGCCACCAGAACCCCTCCACTCAGCACTGCCAGCCCTGGGAGGCGCTGGGGGCACTACCCGGGTACCAGTGCCCTGCCCAGGGCGCTTCCAGCGCGCCCCTCGGGAGGTGCAGCCCCGCACGGCGCTGTGGGGAAACTGAGGCACGGCGCCTCGGGGGGAGGGGGGTCCATCCTCTCCGCCCCCCCCGGCCCCGCCGGCCCGGCCCCAGCGCCGCCAGCGGCATTTCCTCCGCCGCGGACCCTCCTCCGAAGGGAGTCGGTTTCCTGCCGCTGCCGCCGCCCGCACTCGGCGCTGCTCCCGGCGAGCGGCCGCAGGCGGACATGGGCCCCCGCTCCGTCCCGCTCCTGCCGCTGCTCCTGGCGCTGCTCGGCCGCCCGGGTGAGTGGGCACCGGGGAACCGGGCACCGGGGGTGAGACCCGCGGGATGGGACAGCGCGACGGGACCCCCGGGACGGGACAGGCGCCGCGGCGGGACCCGCCGGTGACCGCGGATCGGCGGCTAAAAAAGGGGTCCCGGCTGTGCCCGCACAGATTGTCACCACCGGGAACCCTCCGGGAGAGGAGGTTTTGGGGAGCAGCGTCCAGCGGGGAGGGATAAAGGCACCCCGATTCCCGGAACACACACAGCACAGCCCTGCCGCTCCCTGGGACCCCCGAAATCCCGGTGCGTCACTGGGGCGTGGGAGGTGTTGAAGACGCCGTGACCCAGTCCTGGCCTAAACGGTGGCACACGGCGGGTCTGGGGTGGCTTTGGTCCCTGTCACCTCGGAGTATGGAGGGGTTGACCAGGAGATGGGATGAGAAATGGGAGAAAACCCTTAAACCTCACATGGAATGTGAGGATGGAGCTGGGGGCAAGAAATGGGAAAAACCCTTTAAACCTCACATGGAATGTGGGGATGGAGCTGGGGGCAAGAAATGGGGAAAAACCCTCTAAACCTCACATGGAATGTGGGGATGGAGCTGGGGGTGAGAGATGGGAAAAAACCCTTAAAGCCGCAAATGGAAGTTGGGGCTTAGACACCTCTGGAGCAGTCAGAGCCACCCTGAGATCCCTACAAAGCCACATGGGGAATTTCAGGGAGGGATGCCAGTGCTGATGGAGCTGGGGGACAGGGAGCTGGGGGACTTGGGGACATAGCCTGCTGGCAGGGGAAAGGGAACAAGGGAACTGGGGAGGCAGCAGCTGCCTGGAGAGGCTGGGGCCAGCAGCACGGAGTGTCCTGGCTGGGTTGGTCCCTCCTGGTCACCTCGGGGGCCAGTGCTCATGGGTGGTGCTGGGGTGGCCCCACTGCCAGGCTTGATGCTCACAGTCCCTGTCCAGTGAGGCTGTGCCGTGGGGGCTGTGTCCCCTATAGTTGTGCCATACAGTCTCCATCCGTGTAGAGGTACAGTAAGTCCTGTGTCCTGTGTAACTGTGAGGCTGGTGCCTGTCCCATGGCTGTGCCACAGCCCCTGCCCTAGGGCAGTGCCGTGGTGTCCTATGTAGATGTGCAGTAAGGTCCATGTCCTCTGTAGCTTTCTCCTACAGTCCCCATCCTATAACTGTGCCATATGCTCCACATCCTGTGGTGTTGTGCCACAGAGGCCTTGTCCTCCCTGTGTATGATGTATAGTCCCTATACCACACAGCTGTGCTGTCTAGTCCTCATCCTACACAGCTGTGCAATGTCACCTGTGTCTTATGTAGGAGTGCCATGTGTCCGTGACCTTTGTATTTGTCCCCAACAGTCTCCACCCTATATGGCTGTGCCATACACGCCCTAACAGGGCTGTGCTATATGGGCTGAGTCCTATATAGATGTGCCATATGGTCCCCACCCTGAATGTTTCTATGGTCCCTGTCCTATTTATCTGTGCTGTATGATCTCCATCCAACATAGCTGTGGCACACAGTCCCTGTGCCCTGTGTGACCGTGCCATATTGTCACTGTCCTGTGTAGCTGTGCCATGTGTTCCCATCCTGAGTGTCTGTGCCTTATGGTCCCTGCCCTGCGTGGTTGTGACACGTGGTCCCCATCCTGCCTACCTGTGCTGCTCACCACATCCTGTTCAGTTGCTGCTTCTTCCTCACAGGAACCTCTGGGGCTGGGAGCCCACAGTGGGTGCAGTGCCATGGAACTGGGATGCCCACAGTGGGCATAGTGCTCTGGGACTGGGCTGTCCATGGTGGGTGCAGTGGTGTGGGACTGGGGTGCTCTTGGTGGGTGCAGTGTCAGGGTGTCTCACAGACACAGCAGCTTCCAGAGGTGGGGGACTTTGTGCCCCCTTGACAGGGGCCAGCACTGCTCCCATGGGGTGAGCATGGTGCTGGGTCTCACCTCCCGTCTGTGAGGAGAGGCTTCTTGGCACCTGTCTGACCTAGAGAGTGCAGGAATGATGTGGCTTATGCCAAGCCTGAAGCCTGGAGCCATGCACACCATCATCCCCATCCCAGTGCCACCTCAGCATGGTCCAACAGCCAGTGGGGGCTCAGAGGATGACAGTTCCCTCTCAGTGCAGGACCCATCCCCATTTCTGTCCCAGATCAGCTCATTACACAAGTGCTGAGGCAATGCCACCAGATGCAAGGATGCCAAAGCGGTGCTGCCCATCCCATGGGCATCCTGCACTGCCAGAGCCACCCTTGCCCTGCATCCCACACCCCAGCTTTGCTCTCTGCTCCCAAAACCCCAGGAATTTCCCCCCCAGCTCCCGACCCACGTGGGGAGCCACAGTGGGACCATCCCTGTGTCCTGATCCCAGTGGCACCAAAGCAAGGGAGAATGCAGGTTGGAAAAACATCAAGTGGATTTTCTTTCTTTCTTCCTTTTATTTTTTTTCCCTTTCCTGGAGTACAAAAATAACAGTGCCCTTATCTGATCGCCCCGGCGGCCCAGCTGAGCCCCCTTATCTGATCCTGACATAATGCTGGAGCCCGCTGCCTTCCCCAGGGACAGACAGTGCCTGACTGGCACCACTGCCCCGCATCCCCTCCGCTGCCATCCCTGCCCTGCCAGGCGAGCCCAGCCGCGGCCCCCGGCCCTGCCTGACCTCGCAGGGCATGAGATGCCCGAGGAGCGAGGAGCTGCCCGTCCCCTGCCCAGCACGCCGGGGCCGGCAGGGCAGGAGTGGAAGGGAAGAGGGACGCAGCCTGTGGCGCCCAGATAAGCGCTGTTTATCTTCCTCCCGATGCTGCCGGCCGTGCCGGGGGGGAGGAAGCACCGGACAATAAATGTGCCCACGGCAGCGTCACCGGGGGGTCCGTGCTGTGACCCCGGGGCCGCCACAGCCCGGCCACCCCAACGGTGGGGCACAGGAATGGCCCTTTGCGGGTGCTGCGTCCCAAAACTCGGTGACCTGGAGCATCGCACCCTATAGCCTCAGTCCCGGTGGGGCTGATGGATGGACTGGGACTGCGATCCAGCCGCCTCCCGGTGCATTGGCTGGAGCCATCAGGGGTGGGAAAAGTTGGAGTGGGAAGGGATAGAACTCAGTGGCCGTCTCCAAAGGAAACACAACATCCCAGGCACTGTCTCCCCATAGAAAGTCCATGGAAGCACAGCTGTGACCACGGGGGTCTGCCCTTCCCAGCCCCCTGGAATGGAGCACCCGTGGATGCAGACGGCTCCTCGGGGCCAAGTTAAGGACAGCCCAGCCACAGCAGGGCTGCCTGGGGCGGAGGAAACTGTCGAGGCACGTGGGGATTTACAGGATCAGGCCTTCAAATGGCTGTTTGCGCTCAGGATTTCCCTTGGCAGCCGCCGGCCGGCCCCGCTGGCCGCCGGGGGCTTTGGGATGGGGCAGAGCTCACGCCTCGGCGCCCGCGGAGGATGAGCCTTACAGCCGCTTCCATACCTGCGCTTCCCACCTTCCTGCACCGGGAATGCGGGGGGGCTTCCGCCACCGGCCCGGCCCTCGGGGCGCCCGGGTGCGAGGTTTGGCACGCAGTGGTGCCGAGCAGGGACAGTGGATTTTTCCAGGCCGGATCCAAAGGTCATTACCGTGATTGCGGCCGGGCCCCGGTCCCGGGGGTGCCGTGCTGGGGGCTGAGGCTGAAGGGCAGTGAAGGGGACATCAGCCCCCTCCTGCACCGTGTTGTGTCACCCCACATCCGTGCGGCACGGACTGACGGGCTCTTGTTTTCCGCCCAGACCCCGCGAGAGCCGAGGGCTGTGACCTGCAGCCGGTGACATCGGAGCGACCCATCACCCTCTCCTATGCCACCAGCACGGTGCCACGCGGCTGTGTCAGCAACAGCTCCATGGACACTGGCCACGAAGTCCATATCCTCAGCGTCAAGTGGTCCGAGGTGAGCACGAGGGGTCCCAGTGCATTCCCGCAGAACTTCTTACACTGTCACTTCACGCTGTCACCCTGTCACTGCCACTGTCCCAGCTGTGAAAACCTTCCTTTAATTAAGGAGCAGCGAAAGGACCTGGATTAACCTCCTCCATGGCACCTTGTCCGAGCTTCTCCTCCAAGCACAGACTTGGGCTTCTCTGCTCCTGATGGGAATGTAAAGACTTTAGAGGCAAATTCTTTAATAGCCCTTGCTGCCAAGGCAGGTATTCCTGTGCTGGACACCTCAGGACACTCCATTTCCCTGGGAAGGTGGCCTGGTCCTGGTTCTGGTTCTGGCTCAGGAGCAGGGCAGAGCCACAGGTACCCAGTGGTGACCACTCTGAGGACAGAGGGAGAGATAGAAAGTGGAAGGGAAGAAGGGATGGAAGGTAGAATGGAGAAAAGGGTGAAGAGATGGAAGGAGAGATGAAGGGAGGGGTGGAGAAAAGAGTGGAGAGATGAAGGAAGCACATCCTTTTTAGATGTCCAAGCAAGCAGAAACCTGTCTGCCAAAGCTGGCATGGCCATGCTGAGGGGTGATAGCCACACTGTGGGTGCTTTGGGGCAAGGATGGCATCAGGGCTGGCGCTGGCGCTGGCTGGCACCATTGGGTGGGTTTGCAGCAGCTCACAGGTTTACATGGCAGCTCTGCAGGACAGCCTGGCTTCCCTCGCGCTGGCTGGGGCCCAGCACCCGATTTTGGCCCAGCCCTGGGCCACCCGGCGCCACGCTCCCCCCTCCCTGCCACCTCCCAGCTCTCCCAGTTCTGCTTTTGGAGCAGGGGAGAGCCAGACCACGAGGCGCTGGGGAAAGTCAGTTCTGCAAGGACCCCTCTGGCCTAGCCTGGTGTAACCCAGCCTTGGTATCCTGGATCAGTGCCAGGGCCGGGGCTGCCCCGGGCTTGTCACCAGCGGCAACAGGGGACACACACTGATGTCACAGCCGCGGCACCGAGCCCCACGGCGCGCGGGGGAAGCTGGGCAGGGACACGGCTCCACTTATAGAAGAATTACTGGAAGCTGCTTTCTATAAGCAGATCCCCACGATGAAAAAAAAAAAAGGAGAAGAAAAAGAAAAAAATAACCCGAAAGGCGGCGGCGGGGAGCGCCGAGGCTCCCGCCACTCGCGCAGCCAAACAATGGAGCGCCACAAAACACGCGGCAGGAAAAAGAGCCGCCAGCTCCTCCCCGACGCTCACTCGGGGCCACCCGGGGTCCCTGGCCACCCACGCTTGCCACGGGGCCATGGCCAGGCCGGCGTGCCCACGGCTTCGTCCCGCCAGGCCTGGGCACAGCCTCCACCCGCCCAGTCCCGGCTGCTTTTCCCTGCCCTCTCCCTCTCCCTCTGCTCAGAACTTTGTGAGCCGCTATTCAGACAGCAGTTGCCAAACTTAGCGCCTGGAGTTTTGACTTCCCCATCCGGATTTCCGGCTAGAGGCAAGCAGGCAGTGCTAGCCACGAGGAATGGTGTGTGCCACCGCTGTGCCCAGGCATCCCTGCACACCAGGACGGGCACACCTGAGCCTGGAGCGGTGGCACAGTGCTGGGAAACCTGCCAGGGGGATGTCCCAGTGCCCAGATGGGAATTCTCCAGTCTTCAGGGGGAGATATCCCAGTACCTACAGTGAGGATGCTCTGGTGCCCAGGGTGGGGATGTCCCAGCTCCAGTCCTCGGTGTGGGGATACCCCAGTCCACAGTGGGGTGACACTCTCATACTCAGAGCAGAGATTAGTCTCTAACTCAAGGATGCCCTGGTCCCTAAGAAGGGGGTGCCAAGATCCCACTGTGTGGGGTGTCCTGGACACCAGTGTGGGGATAACACCATCTTCCAGGTGGGCATCCTGCTGGTCCCTTGCTCTGGGGAGCCAGGGCGTGTTTGTCCCACCAGTGCAGGGACACACTCATGCAGCATCCCTGTCCCTAAACCAGCCATGGCTGCCTCTTGCATGGTTCATCCTCAGGGCCTCAGGGCTCTCCCTCCTCCCTCTGGCTCTAGGGGACAGCCAGGACGGTGACAGGGGCTGGGACTTGGTGGCCACCGTGATGACACTCTCTTCTTCCGCCCCAGGTCTCTCCTGTCCCTCTGATGGTGACAGTCACCCCCCGAGCCGATGCCTGCAGCCGGCCAGCGGTGCTCATCCTCCTCTGCACCCGCTGCTCTGCCACCATCACCTCCCCGTGCTCAAACCTCATCATCCGCACCGTGAGTGCCACACCCCCACAACGGAGCGATCCCGGGGGGCAGCGGGGCTTGGGCCATCCGTGGGGAGGTTTGAGGGAGTCGCTGGTGGAGACTGGTCCCTCCCATCACCAGACATGATGCTTGTGGTGGCCCAGGGAGGAGGGGACGCTCCTGACCATTGCTGGCGGCGCTGAGCGCTGGGCTGGCCAGGCAGGGAATGACGCACAGGGCTGGAAAAAGCTCCCATTTCCTCCGGCCGGCGGGAGGAAGGTCAGGGATGGGGTTTGGCTCCAGCGAGCTGAGCCGGGGTCGGGCGCTTTGTTAGCAAAATAAACCTCCTGCTTTGTTTGTGGCTAATAATAAAGTGGGCTGAGCCCTCCGTGTGCCACCAGCCACTCGCTGGTCCCAGCTCACGTCCCCGAAAATCCCTACTTATCCAGGGTGACCCCCAGCCCGGGGTCCAGGGACACTCACCTGTTTTCGGTTCACATTTGTATCCTGCACACTGAGGGGAAAGGTTTTCCTTGCTTTCCCCATGCCAGCCTGTATAAGGGAGGGATGCACCTTGCTCCTCACCCAGCTTAGGCTGTCACTTGGCCCACAGGACGCTCACCTCAGCCCGGAGACCATCAGAGCACCAAACCCTGAGCCACCCATGGTCTCCAGTGAGGGACAGCTGCTGGCTTGGGCTCTGGACACCTACGGGGGCATCACGTCCTACAGCGAGCTGCAGGACCCCCGCAGGGTCCAGCTCCACCTGGGAGAAGGTGCGTGGGGCTGGGGGCTAGCACTGGGGGGCTGGAGTGGGCGGGAATGGTCTTCCTGTTGCAGAAGGGTGACAACCTCCTGGGGCAATGTACCTTCCCCAGGGAGATGCTGTGGGGGCTGATGCCCTTGGCCCTGAGCGCCTCCCCATCCGCTGAGCCCAGTTTGATTTTGATCACCTGCCACCTCCACAGATGCCAGCAGCCCTCCAGACTGCGTTCCCCAGGAGCACTTCAATGCCATGCTACACCTTGAGACTGAGGTCTTCTTCCATGGGGTGAAGGGCTGCTCACGCAGCGACGCCCAGAGCACCGGGGCCGCTCACATCATCCATTTTCAGTCGGAACCCAGGTACGTACCACAGTGCCAGCAGTGGGACCCCAGCAGTGGGACAGGCAGTGGGATATTCTTGGAGATGCTTGGGATGGTGTTGGGCTGTCTCAAAGGCAGAGCTCCACATCCTGAGTTGGATGTGAGACCGGTTGGTATGCAACGCTGAAAATGGGGGTCTTGTGGTTTTGCAGCTCCTCCATCACAGAGGTGAACCTGTCTGTGAGCTGTCCTCAGAATTCTGCTGGAAACCAGATCCTGATCCTGCAGAGCAAGGCCAACTTCACCTGGTTCCTCTCCTCGAAGTGCAACATCCATTTACTGGTATGCTGAGAGGAACATATCTTCCCCACCACCCCCACCAAGGGGTCTGCCAGGTGCCCAGGAGATGCTGGTGTCATGGGCAAGGTGGCAGGAGGGCACCTGGAGATATCAGGCATGGACAAGTGGCAGCCCCCGTGCTGCTAGGCCTCATTACTGGGATGAACCCTGCCTTGTGCAGCCCCAGCTGTCCCTGTCTCCACTTAGCCCCTCTATGCTTCTTCCTCCCTTTCCTCCTCACTGCAGGTCTCTGGGACTTACAGGATGACCCTTTTCCCAGTGGTGTTGCCTGGGATGCTCCTGCCTGACACGGAGCAGGACCTCATTGCTAAAGCCTTTGAGAAGAACTACAGCGTCATTGCCTCCTACTCTGCCATCCCTGCCAGCACCCACATCAGCCTGGAGATTCACGAGCACGGTGAGGCCCCCAGCAGCCCAGGGCTGGGTGGGATCGGGGGTTCCACCACTCCCACTCAGCCCCCCCATCTCCCTGTCTTGCAGAGATGGTCGAGACGCCTGTGACAACCACCCCCATTGTCATCACACAGCCCCCAGACTTGCCCCACCAGGTGCTGCTCACACTCAAGCCCTGGAAGTGCACAGATGAAACCATGGAGATTGTCATCATCAGGTCCTACCTGGAGGTGAGGAGGGCGGAGAGGGGTGCTAATGTCCACCAAAATCACTCAGAAGTTGCATGTTCCCCTGGGGGCTCGGGGTGGGTGGCACGAGGCTGTCCCCTGTGGGTGACTACAGTGTGCTTTCCTCCTAGCCCATCAAGGACGTGGTGAACATCACCCTGAGGGACATCAGCTGCCAGGCAGAGAAAAATGCCACCCACTTCATGTTGAAAAGCCCCCTCAGCCATTGTGGCACCTCACTGGAGGGCAGGGGCTATGCCAACAATGAGGTGAGAGGGGGGGCTGGCTGGGGGTGTTGCCTCCAGCCCCACTGATGGCCCATGAGAGCTTCAGTGATTGCCAGTGGGGCTTCTCCACCAGGACCTCCTTGGTTTTGCATGGCTGGAAACATCATACTGCAGCCAGGGCTGAGGTGGAGGGGGGGGGTGTGGGTGGGACCATGCCATGCCATGCCATGCCATGCCATGCCATGCCATGCCATGCCATGCCATGCCATGCCATGCCATGCCATGCCATGCCATGCCATGCCATGCCATGCCATGCCATGCCATGCCATGCCATGCCAGCAATAGGCTCCAGCAGTGGGTACCACTTGACTGACCCAACCTTCTGCCTTCCCGCAGCTCATCCTCAGCCTGGCCAAGGACGCAGTGCTCCGGAGTGTGCGGGTAAGAGCCGGGTGTCCCAGCATGTCCAGGGGTGGCAGAAGGTGCAAATGGCACTGTCAGCCGGGTGCTGGGTGCCCCTTTAGAGCTGCCCCACTCTTGCAGGTGGCCTTCAAGTGCGAGATCCCGCGGGAGCTCTTCCTGCGCCTTTTCCCCACCGCTGCCTTCGAGGCACCGCAGACGGAGCTGGAGATCAACAAGGAGGCCTTTGTGCAGGTGCTGCCGCCGTGCCGGTGCCGGGGCTGGGGCAGTGCAGCCAGCCCTGGGCCGGTGACCCTGATGGTGTGCCCGTTCCCACCCCGCACAGGCGTCCATGCGGTGGATGGATCACCCAGCAGACCTGCAGCTGAAGGAGTGCTGGCTGCTGGCCGCAGGGCGGGAGCCGCTGCTGCTGCTGCAGGGCGGGGAGGCGCGTGGAGCGGGGGTGGCCGTGCTGGAGGGACCCCCCAGCAGCCATGGCAGGAAGGTCTGGCGCTTCCGCTTCACCTACACCGTTCCTGAGGGCAGGCACATCCCCTTCTCTGCCATCCTCAAGTGCAAGGCCGGCTTGCAGGTCGGTGTGACCCCCTCCCCATCTGTGACACCACCACGCTGGTCCCACCGGCAGTAGTGGCCTGATGGGTTTGTCCTGCACCAAAGAGCCTGGGGGACCCCACCTCTGCCATCCTGCAGGGGTGCACATCTTCCCCCTCTCACCCCACCCTCCACCTCCACAGAACGACACCATCTTTGAGAAGGTCCTGGAGTTGACAGTGAAGGATGCCTGGCGGCCCCTCAACTGTGAGTCCAGGGCAAGGGAGGTGGTCAGGGTGGGAATGGGAGTGGGACAGGGACTGTCCCGGTGTGGCAGCGCTGACAGCCTCGTCCTCCCACAGACCGTGGGCTGGGGCTGGCTGCCGTCCTGGGAATCACCTTCGGCGCCTTCCTCATCGGGGCACTCCTCACTGCCGTGCTCTGGTACATCTACTCGCACACCCGTGAGTATCCACCGCCCCTGGGGACCCCTGTGGTGGGATGGGGGGGGCCACATGCGTGTCCCTTACCGGGTTCCCCATTTTTCCCTCCTGGCCAAAGTCCCCAAGGGAGCCAGACACCAGGCTGCTCCATTGCCCTCATCTGTGTAGTGCTGGCAATGCTATAGGGGAATAAATAACCCTGCTTCAGGAGTCTACAGATCCTCAGGCTCCCTCCTGCTTGTCTGGGGACCCCCCTGCCCTCTCCCCTGCTCCTGGTGTCCCATGCTCATCTCCATCCCAGGGGCTCAGGGGTCAGCTGGGGAGTGATCCATGAGAGCTGGAGGGTCCCTGGGGAGCGAGCCAAGGCCACCGCTGTTCGCCCTGAGTCTGGTTTCCCCTTGGTGTTCCCCCGTGGCGGGCGGTGTGAGCCAGGTCCCATCTCCAAACTGCAGCCGGTTTCCAGCACGGCGCCAGCCTCGGAGAGCAGCAGCACCAACCACAGCATCGGCAGCACCCAGAGCACCCCCTGCTCCACCAGCAGCATGGCCTGACGCCCCCGGGCCCCCCCGAGCCCGCGCAGCCCCTGGCCAACGGACTTGGGGACCCACCCCAGTGCCATTAAGCTGATTTTTTGCCCCAAATCTCAGGCCGAGCCCAGAGGGGGCCTCCATTACTCATTCAGTGAATGCTTTGGCCCCCTGAGGGCAGCCCACACCGGGGGGGGGTGCACCTTGCAACCCCCCTGGGCTCCCCCGCTGCAGTGGGGAGGCAGAAAGAGCAGCTATTGCCAAAACCTCCCACAAGGCTCCCCATCAAATGGGGGGGGAATTAAAAGTGGGTGCCCCCTGGACATGCCCCAGCACTTGGGGTGACCCCTGTGCCCCTCCTGTATCCCCCCAAGAAGGCAGCAGGCACCAGTGGGAGCAGCAGGAGGTTTATTTGTGGAGGATGGTGCAAGGCTGCTGCCCTCCCACAGGACGACGGGCAGAACCCACCACTCCCCCCAGCTCCCCGTCCAAGTTACAAACTCTTATCAATAATAATAAAAACCTTCCCTATGTTAAATTAATTGCACTCTGATGCTGAGCCTCGCCACAGCTTGAGGCTCCCACTTACCAGGCACTGGACCTCATCACAGCCTGGGGCAGCCCCCCAAACCCTGGGGGATCCCCCAGTCAGTCTCACTAGGGAGGGGATGGAGACCAGGAGCATCCCCCCATGGACAGTGTCCTGGGAAGAGCACAGGCAGAAGGCACTGGGGTGAAAACAGCCAAGCCAGGATGGGGTGGGGGTGCCCCACATCCCCCTGCAGACACCTCTGAGCATCACTGGGGGCAAAACTGGTGTTTCATGTACACGGAGGCGCGAAGCCCTGCGGCCCCGTCACTGGGCCAGCGCGGGCTCCAGCAGCCGCAGCGCTCCCCCCACCAAGTGCAGGCTGCCGGTGACCAGGACACGGACGGCGGCCGCCTCCCGCAGCAGCACGGCCCCGCTGCTGGCCGCGGGGTGCGGGTGAGCCCCCGAGGCCGTGGGCGCTGCCAGCTGCGGGTCCCGGCCCTGCGCCACCCACCGCAGCGCCTGCGCCAGGCACGGGAACACCAGGGCGGGGGAGTTGAGGGGTCGTGGGGCTGGGGGCACCAGCAGCAGGGAGCCCCGGGTGGGGGCCGGCTGCAGCAGCCCCCCCACCCGCAGGGGAGACGGCAGCCAGGGGTCCTGCCCCACTTTCTCCTCCAGGAGCCTCGTCCACGTCCGCTGGTTCTCCAGGCAGCGGGTCAGGGCGTTCTCCAGCGTCACGTTGAAGTTTTGCTGGTCTGGGAGGAATGGAGACAGCAGTCAGTGATTGCAGGGGGAGCTGGGGAGGGATCAGAAAGGGAAGCTGGGGGAGACCCTGTCTCCCCAGCACTCACCTGCATTGTTGGCCACTGACACCTCGGTGAAGTTGGGGCAGAAGACAGCATAGTCAAAGTGACAGGGCTGCGGAGACAGCAGGAATCAGCACTGTGGGAACCCTCAGGATTTCCACTGGGGCCAGTCCCACACCCACGGGGTAACAGGGGATGGGGCAGGGGATGATCCAAGTCCCTTCCCCGCACCCAGGACTGTGAGACCCCCACAGGGGGCAGTTGAGGTGGGATACACCCCCGGGATAGCAGGATGGGCAGACAGACAGACAGACAGGGTGCCAGCTCCACCTCGTGGCTCCCTCCACCCACAGCAAAGCAGGTCCCACAGGGCAGAGAACCCAGGCACCCAGGCACAGTGACATCCCTGTGCCCCCAAACCTCACCACCAGCAGCTTGAGCAGTGCCGCCGTGTCCCGGTCGCCTGTGGCATTGAAGAGCAGCACACGCACCTCAGAACCACTGCAGGGAGAAAGGGCAAGTGGCCCATGCCCCCAGGGGACCTCCAGCAGCACCACCACCACACCCCAGAATGTGTGCCCCCTTTACATCCCCTCCTTACTCGTGAGGCTTGTCCTGGTTGAGTGCAGTCTGGCGGAACCAGCGGACACAGGCCTGGATGCTGCTGGTGGTGTGAGCTCCATCCAGGTACCACGTCACAGGGCCGTGGGACAGCACCTGAGTCCTGCCCAGCCACTCTGTGTCCCGCAGGCCTGGGGGGACACAGGGCATGGCTGGGACCCCCATACCCTCCCCAGACCTGGTACCCCTGTGGGAATCCAGTATGGGGACAGGCTGGGGTCCCGCCACACGGTGAGGGGGGTCCTGGCATGGCCGTACTGCACCTTGGATCATGGCATCGGTCAGTCGGAAGGCAGGCGCCAGTGGCACCGGCCTCCCCAGCAGCTCGGTGCTTGGTGGCACCTCCTTCAGTTCCCCAAGACCTAGGCAGGACAGGCATCTCACTGAGCCCTCAGGGGCCCTGCTGGGGTCTGGCCCCCTGTCGCTGTCCCCCTGCCTTACCCGGGCAGCCGCAGCGCTGCAGCCACGTCCGTGCCAGCTGTAAGGCCAGGGCGGCGTTGGAGCGCTGGTGGGCACCTGCCAGCCCCAGCTCCAGCGCCCGGCAGCCCTCCTCAAAGTCGTCCAGCTCCGGGCAGAGGTAGAGGGGACACTGTGGGGAGAGGAGGCTGAGCCCCCCGCCATGGGATGGGGTACCCCCAGCCCACACCCCTGCCAGCAGCTCACCTTCCGCTCCTGGGCTCGCTCCCTCAGCACCTCCAGCGGCCGCTCCGGCTGCGCCACGGTGAACGCCGGCACACCGGGCTGGGAAGGACAGGGGTGCTTAGTGACATGGGGGTGCTCAGAGACACGGGGGAACACACCCCAAAAACACAAGAGGAGAGAGAAGACCAGGTCTCCTTACCTTAAAAATGCCCCCCTTCTGCCAGGCAATCTTCTCCATGGTGTCCCCCAGGATGCTGGTGTGGTCGATGCCCAGGGAGGAGACCCCACACACCACCGGCGCCCTGGGAATGCAGCACAGCAGTGTCCCTGCTGTCCCCCCTGCGCTGTGGGGACATCAGGCCCTGGCAGCCCTGGTGACAGGCTCAGCCATGACAGCTCCTACCTGATGATGTTGGTGCAGTCATAGGTGCCACCAATGCCAACTTCCACCACTGCCAGGTCCACCTGGGGACACAGGGACACTGGAGCCATCAGACATCAGAGCCATCAGCAGTAAATGCCCCCATGGATTCAGGGATGTGTGTGGAGGCAGGTCCCTGCCACCAGCCCTTCCAAACCCACACCTGAGCACACCCCCTATTTGTGGGGGGGGATCATCCACCTCACACAGCATCCCGTTTACAGCCATGACAGACTCATCCACACAAATTTTGACCCAAGTCCCCCCTCCCTGAGGTCCCCACCAACTTGACATTTCTGTCACAAGCTGGAGGCCACCACCACTGACCTTCTCCTGCAGGAAAACGTGGAAGGCCATGATGGTGAGGAAGCGGAAATACGCCGGCATGCTGGCGTGCGCTGGGTCCTGCCAGGGAGAGCAGGGTGGGGATGAGCACATGACCCTGGGAGCGGGGGACCCAAGGGAGGGAACACACCCACAAACCCTGCTGGCCCCACCTTGGTCTCCTCCAGGCGGTTGTACACCAGCCAGAAGTACTTGCTGAAGAGGTCCTTGCTGATGGGCTGCCCATTGATGCGGATCCGCTCGCGCACCTGCACGAGGTGAGGGGAGCTGGGGGCACAGAGCAGGGGAAGAGTTCGGCACAGCTCCGCTGGCCCTTCGAAACCCTCCTGACCCCCACCCACCTGTAAAAGCCCGTCTTCAGCCCGTAGTTGCGGAGGATGCATTCGGTGAAGGCGCACGCTGAGCCCTGAGGAGACAGCAGTGTTAAACCCCTGTTCCAGAGCAGGGCAAACGGAGCACAGCCACCAGCAGTGCCCCCTGAGCCCCCCACAGCACCGCCCACCCGCCTCACCTTGCCCTTCGTCCCCGTGACGTGGATGATGTTCAGTCGATCCAGGTCCTCGACCTGTAAGAGTTCAACCACCCTGTGAGACCCCCCACGGCAGCCAGTGCCAAGCATGGTGGCACTGCTAACAGGACAGAGGGAACAGGGACGGGGATCAGCCCTTCACCTTCAGTCCGCTCCTCTCCAAAAAGCCCTGCATGGCTTCCAGCTGGGCCTGGGGGTCACCACGCTCCCGCTTCACCTGCTCCAGGTAGCTGGCATTGGTCTGCAGGGTGTTGAGCATCCGGATTGCATCCTGGAAAGACGCCCAGGGCGGTGGGGATAGTGCCCAACACAGCAGCAGCCTTGTGGCTGCGCCACAGCCCCAGGGGCCAGTCTGCCCAGAGCCCGCTGCACCCTGACCCACCCCTTCGGGCTCAGCCTCCTCGGCGGTGCCATCGGCCACCCACGCGGGCAGCATCTCTGCCATGGTGCCGCGGGGACGTGGCGGCAGCGCCAGATTCCCCGTCGCGGGGACAGGCTGCTGGTGGGCAGGGTCACCCGCCCCTCCCCGGGTGCCCGTTGGCCCCGCGGCGGGCACGGGACAGCCCAGCGCCGGCACCCGGGGCTGCCCGGCGGGACAAGGTCGCCGCCAGCGGGAGCGGGCAGCGCTCCAGCGCACCCGTCCTGCCGGTGCTCATGATGCAGCAACGCCGCACCGGCACGGCACACCTGAGACACGAGGTGTCACTGTCACCGAGCCTCCCAAAGCCGAGTTAAGGGGGCGTGAGCAGTCGGGACAGCAGCCCGTGTCCCCAGTGAGGGGACACTCCAGGCAGGCAGCTGCACCCTGTCCCACCACAGTGGCACCGACACCGAGAGCGCTCCCGCCTGCCCGAGGGGCGCTCCGTGCCGGGTCCGCCATCATCCCCACGGCAGCAGGCGCAGCCGCGTGCGGCCGGGACCCGCCGCGACTGCCGCTGCAGGCCGGGCTCACCGCTGCCGCCACGGGGCACGGCGTTTGGCGGGGTGCCCCGAGCAGAAAGCGGGGGCACGCGGCACGGGGCAGGCGGCACGGCCCGGGGCTGCGGGGGGCGGCAGAGGGGGTCAAGAGGTGGAGGGGGGGGGGGCGTGCCGCCGCCCCGCGCGGAACCGGAGCCCCGCGGCTGTCGCGGCCCCGTGCCCCGCCCGGTACCTGGTAGTCGGTGGCGGGGGCGCGCGCGGGGCGCGTGCTGAAGCGGCGCGCCCCGGCCCGCAGCGCCCCGCGCAGCGCGCGCAGCCCCCGCCGCACCATCCCCGCCGCGCGCGCACCGGGCCCGCCACGCCGCGCGCGCCGCCGGGGCAAAGGGGGCGGGACGGGCCCGCCCTCACACACCACACGACACCGCCGCCATCTTTGAAGCTGGCAGCGCGCGCCGCGCCGCCTGAGGAAGGAGGGAGCGCCATCTTTGTAAGGGGCAGCGAGGCGGCTGCGCCCGTGCCCATCCAGACGCCCCGGGAGGGGCACGGGGGTCCCCCCCGCCCTGCTCGGGACGGACCGTCAGGCACAACCCGCCTCCGGATCTCTCCGTCTGGCAGCACAGGGTCATAGCCCTACAGCCCCCACCGCCCCCGCCGGCAGCACGGCCCCGGCCCGGTGCCAGCGGAGCCCCTGGGCTGCCCGTGGCAGCGGTGCCGATGTGTCAATGGA